TCTTTCTTCTTGACGAGGAGAGACCGTTGTTGCATCTAGATGGCAGCTTCCTAGCTTTTAAGGTCCCAGTCACTACTCGCCAAAGTAGTAGGTCAATACCTTTTTTTGAGAATAAAGCAACAATTAAAGGAAAAGGAGAAAAAAAAAGTTCCTACTCAGTTACTAATAATATTGTAACTGTTGTTTTTAGTTGCTTCATAGTCAGTTCCAACTCATAGCAGCCCTATATGTGCAGACTGCCTGGTTCTGCACTGGCTCCACAATTGTTGCTATGCTTGAGCCCATTGTTGGAACCACTATGTCTGTCCGTCTCATTGAGGGTCTTCCTCTTTTTCACTGACCCTCTATTTTATCAAGCATGATAACGTTCTCCAGAGACTGGTCCCTCCTGATAACGTTCTTGACGGAATGGTCCCTTCTAATAACATGACCACAGTATGAGAGATTAAGTCTTGCCATCCTTGCTTCTAGGGAGTATTCTGGCTGGCCTTCCTCTAAGACAGATTTGTTTGTTCTTCTCATAGTCCATGGTATGTATATTCAATATTCTTTTCCAACACCACAATTCAAATGCATCAATTCTTCTTCCGTCTTCCTTACTCATTGTCCATCTTTCACATGTCTATGAGGAAATTGAAAATGCCACAGCATTGGTCGGGTGCAGCTTACTCTTCAAAGTGATATCTTTGCTCTTAGAGACTTAAAAGAGATCTTTGGCGGCATATTTGCCCAATGCAATATGTCATTTGATTTCTTGACTGCTGCTTCCATTGGTGTTAATTGTGGACCCAACTAAAGGGAAATCCTCAACAACTTCAATCTTTTCTCCATTTATCATGATGTGGCTTATTGGTCCAGTTGTGAAGAGTTTTGTTTTCTTTATGTCAGGGCGTGATCCATACTGAAAGCTATACAGTCTTTGATCTTCATCAGTAAATGCTTCAAGTCCTCTTCACTTTCAACAAGCATGGTTGTGTCATCTGCATATCACAGGTTGTTAATGAGTCTTCCCCCAATCCTGATGTCACGTTGTTCTTCATAGAGTCCAGCTTCTCAGATCGTTTGCTCAGCATACAGATTGAGTAAGTCTGGTGAAAGGATATAACCCTGACACACATCTTTTCTGATTTTAAACCATGCACTATCCCCTTGTTCATTATTCTAACGTCTACCTCTTGGCCTTGGTCTTGGTCTTGTACAGGTTCCTCATGAGCACAAGTAAATGTTCTGGAATTCCCATTCTTCACAGTATTATCTAAAATTTGTTATGATCCATACAGTCAAATGCTTTGCATAGTCAATAATCTTCCAACATTATATTAGATATTGTTTCACTGCTATTTTTGAAGTTTTCAGTAGTCAATTCTTTCAGAAGAAGACTGTCACATCCTTCTTCCTAGTCTGTCTTAGTTTGGAAGCTCCACTGAAACCTGTCCACCATGGGTGACCCCTCTGGTATTTGAAATACCAGTGGCATAGCTTCCAGCATCACAGTAACAGGCAAACCACCATGGAACGGCAATCTGATAGGTGAACCATGGATGTTGTAACTAATAATGTTATAATTCTATGTAGAAAGATTTTACAAAATAACTTTGTTGTTAATATTGATATAATCTAATAAATATTACATTTAAGCAATTTACAACTACAGTTGGCCATTGAACAATACAGGGGTTAGGGGCGCTGTCCTTCAGGCAGTTGAAAATCTACATATAACCGTTGAGTCTGGTAGCGTAGTGCCTAAGGCACTTGACTGCTAACCAAAACGCTGGCGGTTCAAACCTACCAGCCACTTCTTGGAAGGAAGGTTGGGTAATCTACTTCCATAGTGATACTGCCTTGGAAACCCAAGGAGGGGTCGTTATGAGTCGGGTTCAAGTTGGTGGCACATAACAACAACAACAATGCCAAAACTTAACTACTAATGGCCTCCTGTTGACTGGAAGCCTTACCAATGACATAAACCCTCAATTAACACAGTTTTTGCCATACAGTTATTAGATTTTCACACGAAGACACACACATGCACAACAGGTAAATTTGTTAACTATATGATATGATAAGGAGCGCTGGTGGTGCACTGGCTGAGGCATTTGACTGCTAACCAAAATGTTGGTGGCTCAAATCCACCAGCTGCTCTAGAGAAAGAAGATGGGGCAATCTACTTCTGTAAAGATTTACCACCTTGGAAACCGAATAGGGGTTGCTATGAGTTGGAAATGACTCAATGGCAGTAAATTTTTGTTTTTGTTTTCTTTATATGATATGATGATTATTTAGTATTCATTAAGTGGAAGGGGATTATCATGAAGGTCTTCATCCTTGCCTTCACATTGAGTACACTGAGGAGGAGGAGGAAGAGGAGGAGTTAGTCATGCTGTCTCAGGGTTGGCAGAAGTAGAAGAGGTGGAGGGGGTAGAAAGGGAGGCAGGAGAGGCAGAGGAAGGAGAAGAGGAGGCAGGAGAGGCAGGCACATTGGCTGTAATTTTACAGAAACACGTGAAAAAAATCTACATATAAGTGGACTCATGCAGTTCCAACCCATGTTGTTTGAGAGTCAACTGTATATTTATCACATACTATTCTATGATTAAAATTATAAGGATTCTGTATGATCTGGTATGCAAGGAAGTCTATGGGAGGTGACACTATGAGTTACCTCACTGAGTAACACCAACCCTAGTGATTCCACTGCTACCATGCCCAGTGTACTGAGCACCTCATGGTTTGAACTAGAGCTCAAGCATCCCCTCCTCCAGGAAGTCTTCCTAGCAGCACCACAGCCAGGTCTGCTCAGGGGTGGGGCTCTCTTCCCTGGCACTGAATGCCCCCTCTGTTAGGGCAGTACTGCCCTGTGGGATGAGAGCAGGTGCCCAAGACCAGGAGGAGGCTGTAGCAGTGGTCCAGGCAAGAGAGAATGTGGCTCAGTCCAGGACGTTTGTCAGAGGCATGAGAGACTGGGTAAATGGTTTAGAGGTAGAACTGCAGGATTTGCTGAAGGGTAGCTGTGAGGGGTAGAGGGAAGGAGAGTTCTAAACTTGTCCCCTCCTTTTCCCCTTTCGTCCCAGGAAGAGCAGATGCGTCAGAAGGATGCCCGGGCAAGGCTCTCCAGCTCCATCCTCAGGAACGCAAGGATCATCAAGTTCCATGCCTGGGAGGAAGCCTTTCTAGAGCGAGTCCTGCACATTCGGAGCCAGGAGCTGGGCGCTTTGCAGGCCTCTGGCCTCCTCTTCTGTGTGTCCCTGGTGTCCTTCCACATGTCCACATTTCTGGTGATGTCACTCTGTTCTCGCTATAGAGTGTGAGGGTACTAGGGGCAGTGAGGTCAGGGAGCCCCGGATCCTGGTGATAGTCTCTGGCCCTCAGAGCTTGTGTTTGCAGCCCACCTTGTCTACCAAAATGTACCTCTTCTAGATCCTGTTCTGTCATGGTCTCTGCATTCTGCTGAGTTCAGTAACCAATCACATTATTCCCATGAAGGTGGCAATGGCAGATATTTAGGCCTCCCTCACTTCTCCTGAAAGGAGCTCTGGTGGTGCAGTGGGTGAGTGCTCAGCTGCTAACTGAATAGGCGGTGGTTCAAACCCACCAGCTGCTCCACCGGAGAATGATGTGGCAGTCTGTTTACATAAAGATTACAGTCTGGGAAACTCTATGGGGTACCTCTACTCTGTCCTATAGGATCACTATGAGTCGAAATCAACTTCAGGGCTTGGGTTTGGATTTCTCCTCCTGGAGTCCAAGGCATCTGGAACAGATGTTTCCACTGGAATGGAGAGGAGGTTACAGGTGTAGGAAGTTGCTCAGGTAGAATCTCTACATGTTGACCTGGCCTCCCTGATGCTGCCACAAAGCACTGTAGTGGTCCCCTCTTGTGGCTCAGAGCCAGTACTACTTCTTGCATTTATTTCAGAAACTGCCATTGGCTCAACCTTCCTAAAGTACACCTTTGACTTCAGTCATGCTTGTGCTCACCAACTGTCAGTGACTCACAACTGCTTCCAGAATAATCCACACTCTTCATAAAATATTCAAGGCCAGTGACAAATGGGTCTTAGATACATTTCCACCAGGATCTGAACCTCAGGGGCCATCTGCTGGAACACCAGATAGCACAATGCAATAATACTCACAACCACAAGGACCAGCATTTAGAACCATGAGGGCTTCTCAAATAGCATGACTGACTGACCATCAAATCAAGTAATTGTCACACTAAGTGACCTTCATACCAAGTATCTATCTGAAGGGTTCCTGCTTGCTTCCCACCATGCCACCCATCTTTGGTACTAAAGAACAGCCACTAAAATATGGGTGACATTCATACCAACTGGCCATCACAAGTGACCATTATACCAAGTACCATCATACCAAGTGACCAGCATAAGTGATCATCATACCATCCTATCAAGTGACCACTATACCAATCAATGAGCATCACACTGAGTGACCATTAGACTGCCAAACCAAGTGACCATCACATCAAGTGATAATCACTCCAAGTCACCATCATGTTATCACCAAGTGACACCTAGAAACAAAACACACCAATACCTAGCACTAAACCATCCCGTAGTGACATCTAGAACTACAAATGCCACCAATGCCTGCAGCCCACAGTGCTATTAATAGCTACAACATCAGAGTTAAATTCCAAGGGATTGCAGAATCATGAGTCCCAGTTGTATCTAGAACCAAAAAAATGCTACTAGTATCTAAAATTACAATGTCTCCCAATGCCTAGAACCAAGAGTTTCTGATAATTAGAATGATGGGACCATACATTCATTCCCCTCCCTCACTGCACCCATATATTTTAAGAAAGAATTGCATCATTTTATAACCTAGGAGTCCTGGTAGCACTTTGGTTAAGGCGCTCAATTACTAATGTAAAGGTTGGCAGTTTGAACCCACCAGCATCTCCACAAGAGAAGATATGGTGGTCTGCTCCCTAAAGATTATAGTCTAGGAAACCCTGTGGGGGCAGTTCTACTCTTCCAGTAGGGTTGCTGTGAGTTGGAATCGACTTGACGGCACACAATGATGTAGGATTGAGGACTTGGGGGGGGCAAGAGAATCTGGGGTGAGATCTCTGTTATGGGGCTTGTTCCAATAGTCTGTGCTTGACCATGTGGACCATGGGAGATCCACAGCTTGCCTGGGCTTCCCTGGCCAGGAAGACAGTCTCATTGTCACCAACCCTGTGTCTCACCCAGGTCGCACTGGTTGTGTTTGCCGTCCACACGCTGGTGGCTGAGCAGAATGCCATGGACACAGAGAAAGCCTTTGTGACCCTCACAGTTCTCCACATCCTCAACAAGGTCCAGGGCTTCCTGCCATTTTCCATCCACTCCATCATCCAGGTGAGGCAAGGGGTGAAGGCATTCTCAGAAGAGCCTGAAAGGAAAGTCAGCTGTGCCTGGACCCCACCCACCCTTGGCCCACTGTCAGTGGCAGGGGAGGAAAGAGAGAGTGAGATGGGAGTAATAGAAAGGAGCAGGAAAAGAGGCAAAGGAGGGGCAGAGAGTGCAGCAGAAAGACATCAGAAAGAAAGTAGCCTTTGTTCAGAAGGCAGTATGGTGACCACAGTGAACATCCTCAAAATAGTCAGACTCATCAATCCATCAATCATTCCAGTTCCCTGTTACAAAGAGAAATTTTATATCTCTTTCGTGACTATCTATTTCTTTCATATTGTGTCCCTTGGGCATGATGGGACTAAGAGAATGGTTGCATATCTGAGCCATCCATATTTTAATGGCTCTTTCTTTAGTTACCAGAGATGAGTGGTGTGGTGGGAAGCAAGCAAGGACCCCTCAGGGGAACAAAGTGTAATATTATTTCTTATGATGGCTTGATGACTTTATTAGAAATGGCACTAGCCTCTTCCCCAGACTTATCTTGCAGAATGTCAATTTGGTTGTTCCAACTGCACTATTTAGGAGTGAGGAAGTAGAGGGCACTACTACCATCATCACCACGTTAATGTGCACTGTTTCTGTAACCTAGGAAGCTCCAGACTAGGACCTTGAAAATGGGTAGCACTTACAGATAGGAAGCTTTTCCCACACATCTTGGGACACCCAGCACCCAAAGCCTGAGGTCTTTGCTTGGTTTTCCCAGGCCCGGGTATCCTTGGATCGCCTGGCCACCTTCCTCTGCCTGGAAGAAATTGACCCTGATGCTGTGGACTCAAGTCCCTCCAGATGCTGTGAGTTCTGAGTTCACTGTGGGAAGGATGGGGGGATGGGGCACTGCTGGGAGCAGGATGGCACCCCAGGTCATGCCACCTACCATGCAACTTAGAAATTGTGGTGCTGTTCTTTCTACCAGTCATTCAACAAATGCTCCTTGAGCACCTGCTGTGCACCAGTCTGGGCATCTTCAGTAAGCACTAAAGACCAGGTTCTTGTCTTTGTGCAGTAAGTACAGGGAGAGCAGCATGGTGACACTTCAACAAGCCAGAAAAACCATCAGAGAGACTAGGAGCACCATTGCACCCTGAGATGCACCAAGCCTGGGTCTCCCACTTTGCCCCATCCATTTTAACCCTACATACCTGTGAGTCTAGTGGCATTAATTACTGCAATGGGAGGGCCACATGTTACCAGGTCAACTCCTGTTCTCTTATTATAACAGGAATAGCCAACCTCTTTACCTAAAAAACACCAGCATAGTGGTTAAATCTCAGCTGATTACATTAGACTGCTTGGGCCCAAATCCCAACCCCGCCACCAAAAAACTGTGTGACCTTGACAAGTTATTAGTCTCGATGAGCCTGAGTTTTCCCGTCTTCAAGATTGTTGTTGTTGTTGTTATGTGCCGTTGAGTCGGACCTGACTCATAGCGACCCCTCCTTGGGTTTCCAAGGCAGTATCACTACGGAAGTAGATTGCCCCATAGGGTGATGATAACAGCATCTACCATACAGCGTTGTTGTGAGGATTAAATGTGCTCATATGAGTGCAGCACTTAGAGCAGAGCCAGGGACAAAGTAAGCTGAGTTATTTTATAATTGTTATAAATTATCGTTATTTTATAATAGCTATAAGATGGTTATTATAGTTATAATAAATGTAGTTATTAATAGTTAATTTTAGTTATTTAGTTATTATAAGAATTATTAGGAGCTCTAGTGATGTAGTACCTAAGGCATTTGACTGCTAACCAGAAGCCTGGCAGTTCAAACCCATCAGCCACTCCTCAGAAGGAAGATTGGGCAATCTACTTCCGTAGAGATACTGCCTCAGAAACCCAAGGAGGTGTCACTATGAGTCAGAATGAACTTGACGGCAGTGAGTTTTGAATTACAATGATTATTAGGAAAAAAAAAATGGCAGTAAGCAGACAAGCTTTGTTTTGTTGGATGACATCAAGTCAATATTCTACTCATAGTGATCCCGTGGAACAAAGTAGAACTGCCCCATTGGGCTTCCTAGGCTGTCATCTTTATGGAAGCAGATCACCAGGTCTTTCTCCCATCAAGCCGCTGGGTGGGTTCAAGCTGTGAACCTTTCAATTAGCAGTTGAGCACTTAACTGTTTGTACCACCAGGGCTTCAAAATTGGGGCTTCTGAGGCCACTCAGAGCTCTGACACATTCTTACCTAGAGTGCAGCCTTGTCCACTGAATTGGTATGAGGCAGGAGGTCAGGACGCAGGCACCAGGTTCAAATCCCAGGTCTGCCACTGATAGCTACTCCTCTCTGGGACCCAAATGCAGTGTGGGGCTCATGCCCATGCCTTTTAGCATCCTCCAAGGGCTACACAGAGGGAAAGTAGCCACGCTTAGGAGCTTCTCAGCATGGAGTCAGGGTCTGTGAGGAACTTGTCCTTGTCCCCACTGGAGGGCCACACAGACCCTCAACCAGAGACTCCTGGTCACAGTTTTGACACAGTTGGTCACTTGCTTGAGGCCAAAGCCTTCCTGTCACTGCTATTCCCGATAAAGGTCCCAATGACAGTGACACAAAAACCAACAGTTAAAAGGAATCTGAAGATGATAGAAAACGTAACTGTCATTTAATCTCCCAATTTCAAAAGAGCCTCTTGTTCCTACTTTTTCAGGTTATAATGGATAATGGTTATAAATTTGAAAATAGATTTATATCAAGAAAAAAGAACAATAGTTAATATTTTCCAAGTGCTTACCATGTGCTGACATAGTTCATAGTTTAGCTAATTAACTCAGCTAATACTATGAGGTAGATGGTTCTATGACCCACACATTGTACAAATGAGGAAGCGAAGGGAAGGAAAAGCAGGATCCCAAGACCTCAGAACACTTAGAAAGGAAGATCTCCTAGGGCTGGTTGCCAGATTTACCAATAAAAATACCAAATGTCTAGTTATGTTTGAATTTTAGATAAACAACAAATAATTTTTTGAAGCATTGTTGTTGTTGTTGTTTGCCATCGAATTGGACCCGACTCATAGCGACCCCTCCTTGGGTTTCCAAGGCAGTATCACTACAGAAGTAGATCGCCCAACCTTCCTTCCGAGGAGTGGCTGGTGGGTTTGAACCACCAGCCTTCTGGTTAGCAATCAAGTTCCTTAGGCACTATGCTACAAGAGCTCCCATTTGAAGCATACCTATACTAAAAATTTATTTGTTGTTTATCTGAAATTCTAATTTAACTGAGTGTCCTATATTTGATCTAGCAACCCTACTAAAAAACCCACCACCATTGAGTCAATTCTGACTCATAGTGACCCTTAGGACAGAGTAGAACTGCCCCAAGTAGAACTGTTTCCAAGTCTATAATCTTTATGGAACCTAACTGCCTCATCTTTATCCTGCAGAGTGGCTGGTGGGTTCAAACCACTAACCTTTTGGTTGGAAACCAAACCACAACACCACCAGAGCTCCTCAACCCTACTACTCAAAAGACCATCAAGTTGAGTGGGTTTCAAATTATGGCTGTTCCTAGAATCAGATAGGGAGCAATTATAAGATACTAATGCTCAGGCCTGTCCTTCAGAGATTCTGACTAATTTGTTAGGACTGGGCGACATGGGTAGCTTTATTTTTAAAAAATCTTTCCAGATGATTCTAAATGTACCATCAAGGTCAAGAACCACTAATCTGCTTCTTCCCCTCATTATACAGAATAAATATCTGAGACCAGGAGCTCTGGTGGCATAGTGCCTAAGGCATTTGACTGTTAACCAAAAGGCTGGTGGTTCAAACCACCAGCCACTCCTCAGAAGGAAGGTTGGGCAATCTATTTCCATAGTGATACCACCTCAGAAACCCAAGGAGGGGTCACTATGAGTCGGATCTGACTCGACTGCAGTGAGTTTGTTTTTTGGCTTTGGAGAGATGGAGGGGGAGACATAATGTCCCAGTGCAATGTCACTAAATTTTAAGTTCTTAGGGAAGGACTGTCTGCAGGAGAGCACTGGCCAGACATTTTGAATGACATAATCAACAGGCATTTATTAATCACAGGAAAATACCACACATCATCAGCCTAGGTTTCCTGAAGTTAGGCTCCCATCCACAGGGTTAGATCACATCCAGGCACATCCCAGTTCATGTCTTGGGAGGAGAACAACTAAATTCCTCTCTCCTGGGATTAAATACTAATGGGATAGCCAAGTCTACATGCCAAATAGCATGTATAAGGAACAAGTAGGGGAAGGAGTAATAAAAGGGGGCAGTACAAGGTAAAAGAGGTATAATAACAATGGAAGGCAATGGACATACTTTATTGCCCCTTTTAGACTATTCTAGATTTACTGGCTCCCAAGAACATCTCTTCCTCCTTTATACAAGCAAGATAGAGTTCTGGGTTTCTTCAGAGGGTAATCATCTCCCCTCTAAAACATATACTTTATTTCCATTAGTAGCTATTAT